ATCCCACCTCACAGCTATGCATGCCTGCACCTCAGAGTCGCTCAGTCTGGAGCTCTAGCACCTTCAGCAAGTGACAGAGGGCTGGGAGCAGTCGCACAGGGAACAACAAAGCTCCTAAGGAACTGGAGCCTCTGCTGGGTGCACAGAGCCCTGGGTACTCCCCAGCCGGGCCTCCCCGACAGGCAGCAGTGTTGCAGAAGGTGCTCAGAAGTTCTGAGGACATTTCATTCCGATCAGTGGGCTTGGTAATTAGGCGGTGGCCAATTATTACAAATTGTCATCTGGAAAGTGCCACCATAGCTGTTCTTGGTGAGGCTGGTGTGTGTGTGTGTGTGTGTGTGTGTGTGTGTGTGTGTGTGTGTGTGTGTGTGTGTGTAGGGTCTTTCCCCGCCCCTTTTTCATCTGCAGCCCACCTCACAGGCTAATGACTTTCTCCGTAGACATCTCTGGCCTACATTTGCTGAGATACAGAGTAAAATGAAAGCATTTCCCTCATATATACGCACAGGCACACACACACCCCTGGGGAAAAGTCCCTTCCAGCATTAATATATTTGAAAGCACACAGGCTGGTGATCAAGTTGAAAATGAACTTGATTTAATCACTTAAATATAAATGATTTTTTTCCCCTGACACCCGTCCTGTGAGCTTTCATATCTCCCTGGAACACTGATATGGAAGAGACGGAGGGCCTGCCTCTGCAGATTGAGCACTGAGAGCTGAGGGGATCAGAGGATTTCTTGACAACGCAGCCTGCCCTTGGGCCTCCTGCGTTAGAAGCCTGAAGATTAAACGAAGTAAATCCTTTGTTATGGGTCCCAGCTGCCCTCAGACAGATCACTCCACTCTCAGGCTACCGGCACACAGCTAAGTAAGCATGCGGCTCCGCGTGTTCCAACACCTGCCAGTGGGAGAGGATTTGTAGGGAGTGTCAAGGTGGACTCTACACTGCTGTCATGACCAAAAACCTCAAGCTGCCATCCAGTCCGCCTGGCCTCAGAGTGGCCCTACAGGGCGGAGTGGAACTACCCCACAGGGTTTCCTAGGCTGCCACCTTGACAGAATCAGACGCCCACATCTTCTTCTCGTGGAGCAAAGGGGGGCATGGGGCTCAAACCCTTGACCTTTGGTTAACAGCTGGGCACTTTAACCACTGCAACACAAGGGCTCCATTGAAGGAGGTTCGGCACTCTTTATAATTTCTCTGTACCTTAAAATCATGGGCTGCCCAAGAGAAAACAAAACAAAAAAACAATCTTAGAAGAAATACAACCAGAATTCCTTACAGGGAAGGATGGCACAACTTCAACTCTCTTGCATTGGACGTGTCCCCAGGAAAGGCTAGAAAGGATCTCATGCTGAGGGAAGCACGGGGCTAGCAGACACAAGAGAAAGCCTCCCTGAGACGAGCTGACTTCACAGGTGCAAGAAGAGACTCCAGCATGCCGGGGGCCCTCCCGCAATGGTGCAGGGCTGGGCTTCTTTGATTTCACTGTGCATGAGACCACCAGGAATTGAGCCAATGGCCACGAGCCACAACTGCTACGTTAAAGTTAGCCTTAGCCAGTCCTCAGCCCCACCTACACTCTGCTCTCAATAACTAACTAAAGACAGTGCCTACCAAGAAACCCATACGCTAGAGGTTGGCATAACAGAGCAGTTTTCTTCCTGATGCTAGAGTCTTGGCCAAGGAGGGAGAACCAGAGGTGACTGGCAAAGGCAGTTCCTGAAGAAAATTCCCAGAGTCTCCTCTGGAGAGACTCGGGCTCAGTTTAGCATGTTCCTGAGAGCCCAGGTCCGTGTGGAGACTGTGACCTCCTCAGACGCACCTCAGCTCAGAGAGGCTCCCCCTCCTCCATCACCAGCACATACAAATGCAAACAACTGTCTTTTTCCCTATTTTGAAAGTACACTTCCCAGTGGGAGGTGCTATCTTAATACACCACAAACTTCCTAAGAATGATATACAGCGGGAGGAAGGCCATGTGTCAACAGTCAGAACTTCAAGTGATGCAGGTGCAAGCTAAGGGACGGCACAGACCGCCAGCAACCGCAGACACTAGAAAGAGGGAAGGAGAGGTTCTTCCTTGCACCTTTTGAGAGTGGGTTCCCCAACTTATTTGGCCTACTGGCCCTTTTCAGAGGGAGAAAAAGAAGTACTGAGTGCCCCCTGACAATTCAAGACGTTTGTACTATAGCCCACAATCCAGGATAAAGTGTGGGTCTCTGCCTTTGCAGCCTGTGGTAGTTACACAATTTCATGTCAACTTGATAAAATAATGAAGGGGTGGAGTCTAGACTGTCAGTCAGGTCACAGCCTGAAGATGTCTCCTGTAGGTGTGCTCTATTCATGCGGATTCTGGGAACTCCCTCTCTTCCTCCCTTGAGGCGACACCCACTCTTTCTCTGCTTCCCATTCCTGTGGACAAGCCACATGGAACCATGCTGATGGCAGCCGGAGCCCTGGAGATGCATTCACCACCATTGGATCCACAAGACTTTCTACCCACTGGCCTGTGATCTTCAGCATCATTGCATGTGCTGCGTGAGTCTGAAGAGGAATTCATGGGCTAATAACGGACTTATGGGCAAATATCAAATTTATGGACTTGATCTGGACTGGGCTGGGATGTTTTATTGATGCACAATAACTTCTTGATATCAAGGTTTCTCATATATATATATATATGGGTGTCCCTGGATTTGTTTCTCGAGTCAACCCACACTAATGCACAGCCCCCTCCCTGGATCATACCAGTACCCCAGGTCTCTCTTACATATATATATATATATATATATATATATATATATGTCCCTGGATTTGTTTCTTGCAGTACCCCAGGTCTCTCTTACACACACACACACACACACACACACACACACACACACATATATATATGAGTGTCCCTGGATTTGTTTCTCCAGTCAACCCACACTAATGCACAGCCCCCTCCCTGGATCATACCAGTACCCCCCCTCCGGCTGGGATGTTTTATTGATGTACAATAACTTCTTGATATCAAGGTCTCTCTTACATATATATATACATATATGAGTGTCCCTGGATTTGTTTCTCAAGTCAACCCGCACTAATGCACAGCCCCCTCCCTGGATCATACCAGTACCCCCCACCCCCGGGGAGGGTGGGTATTGCCCTCTTTAGGAAACACTGCTTTAGAGGGACCATGTCAGGTCTTGATTCCAGACTTCTAGCCTCCAGATCCTAGAGAATAAATTCTGTTTTAAGCCAAAAGAACAGTAGCAACAAAAACTGTAATAAGAGGAATTATTTTGTTTTAATTGATAACTACCAAGGAGAAAGAGAATGGTGAAATGACATCCCAGGTTGTTCATGCCTCATCACACAGAGAAAATGACACTTTCAGAACACATTGCTCATTGGGATAAATTGCAAGTAATTTGTGAGCCTCTGTAGGGAGCTCAGTTAAACATGAAACAAAAAACCCTATACTTTCTGTACATGGTATAACTTGATACTAAAAATAAGTACAAATGAGAAGAATATTACTTATTGAATATATATAAAATGCCTCCATAAAATATTTTCAAAAATTAAATGAGGAAAATATAATGGTTAAATAAATTATGACACAGAGGACTACATCGTACAACTATAAAAAGTATGTCCACAAACAATGTTTACTGACTTAGCACATGATCTACATATCACATTAGCATCCTCAAATTAAGGAAAGAACACAAGTAAGAAAAATAGCAATGCAAAACATAGAAACCATAAATTAATCATGGCATTCATGGTCACAACATGTCATTTTTATGTTCACAATAAGTGAACAGGTGAAATAAAATAGCTTTGGACTGCTAGCCTTCAGGGCCTAAGTTCAATCCCACTAGCTGCTCCCCAGGAGAGAGATGAAGGAAGCTGCCTGTGAAAATTTAAAGCGTCGGAAACCCCATGCAGGGTTGCTATGAGTTGCAATCAATTCGATGGCAGTAGGCTTAGTGTGGGGTTAATTACAAGAGATATAAACCAAACAAAAAATAAAAACGCCACTGCCATCTCATGGATTCCCACCTAGAGCAGCCCGATAACTCACTGCCTTCAAGTCTTGTCTGACACAGTAATCCTGTGGGACAGGGTACAACTGTCCCTGTCCAGAACTGCAACTCGTTCCTGGAATCCGGAACTGTAACTCGTTCCCCAGCTTCCTCCCGCAGAGCGGCTAGCAGTTTCAAACTGAAGACCTGGCAGTTAGCGGCCCAGCATGCCACCACTTCAACACCAAGGTCACTGGCCTCCCCAGAGGGCAGAAGACAGCTGCCCCCCGGAGAATGTCTGTGACCATGAGTCCTGAGAGAAGGAGACAGCTACACTTTCTCACAGGTGGCAACTCCTAGCTCAAACAGCAGACCTGCCATTCAGGAGCAGGACTCCTTTAGTATCAGGTAAATGTTACTTTATTTATAATAGCAGCACAAACATAACAAACAACAGTTATCTCTAAAATAGGTTAAAATAATGGTAGGCTACATGTGTTTATAAAGTTTTTATAAAATGCCATTAGCTCTATTACTCTTCATTTTCTCATGAGAATAAGATACCAGGAATACTAGATTAAGTACAATAGTAACTTTGATTTTTAAAGTTTATAAAGAAAAAAAATCTCAAACAAGCAAGTATGGAAATATAATAAAATATAAATTAGTGAAGTATGTAAAAATGTTAAGTAGGCCCTTCAAGATCGAACTGTACTCTAAAGTATACCAGGGAAAGGTAAGAGTTACAAACCTGGTCTCCAGGTTTCTCCCAGAGAATATGAAACAGAAAACTAAATAAAACAGCTAAAATTCAAAGAAACAAAGAATCATTTCTTTATTCATGCATATTCCAAACAAGTTTCAAATTGATGTTACAAAACAATGAGGTGAAAAGAAATCCACCCTCCATTCCAGTATAAGTCAGTGGAAGCATGAAAGCTCTTAATGTGTCAGTTTACTCACGTTTAAGTCCGCTCACCTGTAATTAGACACAAGCTTAGGATGACGACTACAATAAAACCAATGACAATGGAGACAATGACCATCCACAGTCTACACTTCCCCACCAAATGCTTATGGCAGACGCTCCAGGGGCTGTCCTTGATAGCCTGAAAAACAGGATGCATGGGAGATCGTCACTTAATTTCAACAAATATGTTTGAAGACCTACAGGGCTTTCTCCTCCCGTAAAGAGTTAAAGTCTCCGGAACTCACAGGGGCAGCAGTTCCGCCCTGTCCTGTAGGGTCGCTATGAGTTGGCATTGACTCAATAGCAGTGAGTTTGGTTTGGGGTTTTTTTTTTAACTAGGGGTCCCTGGGTGATGAAATTTGTAAACACATTCAACTGCTCATCATAAGGTGGAAGTTTCAAATCCACCCTGAGACGCCTTTGAAGAAAGGTCTAATCATCTACTTCCGAAAAATCAGCCATCAAAAATCCTTTCAGTTCTGTTCTGATATCTATTGGGGCACCATGACTCAGAGTTGAATGGACAACAACTGGATGTTTTAGGTTTGATTACCTGCTGTCCTGTGGATCAGGAATACAGACAGGAAGGCAGCAGGTTCACACTCTACTGGGTCAAATTAACAAATAGGGAGACGTGGGGAAGGAATCTCACAAGGAAAATAGAAAAACAGATGCTTCGGGAACTCTGCGGTAGGGAGAGACACAAGTTTTCAAGGTGGGGTTTTGGAGGCAGGATAAAGACATTCCACAGGAGGGAAAGAATGTTGACCCCTAACGGGGCTGGCCAGCCTGGGGCTCAGAGGAGAGTGAGAGGAGTCAAGAGGAGGGGAGTGCCTGTTCGGAGCACCCGGAAGCATGTTCCCAGTGCTGCCGGAGGAATTTGGACTGAAGCTGGTGTGGACTGAGGGTTTAGAGCCCGGGTGTGGTGTTTACGTGAGACACGTCAAGAGAAAGCTAAGAGGCTACTGCTCCAGCCCAGACTGTCTACACCGAGCAGGGAAGGGAAATAAGGCACTTGGAAATCAGCAGCCAAGGGTGTAGCAAGGCAGAGTGCAATGTCTTTGCCGTGTGACTACAGAATGCTCTCAGGATCTCTAGTGGGCCCGACTCCCAGCATCACAGTACGGAGCTCCTGCTGATGAACATGTCTGGGTGCCAGGAGGCGGAGGTGCTCATTCTCAGCTTCCACCTGCCCACCCACCCCAAAGGGCCTGTGAGGCTTCTTACAGGGAGCGGAGGATGGGTGTTTTTTTATTTATTCAAGTGCTTGAGATATGTCGCTCAATAAGGACAATTGGTAGAGAAAGCCATCCTGTTTGGTGTCAGAAAATAAGGATAGCCCCAATGAGATGGATCCTTACAACAGCTACAGTTGTGGACTCATGCATGCCAGGTAACACTGTGCTCTGTTGCGCTGGGGTCCAGTCAACAGCAGCTGACAACAGGGAGGCTGTGGGAAATGGTGTGAAGTGTGTCTCTTAAATAATCAGCCTAGCTCACGGGGCTGCTGGAAGAGACCAGAGATTGTGTTCAGGAACCACTGGCAGGACAAGTATTAGGAGCTCAAAAAACCAACAAACAGGAGCGACCCTGCTCAATCGTTACTCGGGCTGCTCCCCGCTCCCACGGAGCTCACTCCTGGATCAGCATCTTGTTTGTGTTCTCAGCCATCGTTATTGTGGCGCCAGCAGAAAAGGAAACCGTTCATCACATGAAGATGGCACTTAAAACTCACTAAATCAGAAAGCCATAAGCTTGTCTGCACGAGGCATTGGTGGTTCAGTGGTAGAATTCTTGCCTTCCGTGTGGGGACCTGCGTTCGACTCTGGCCAATGCACCTCAGGCAAAGACATCACCCGTCTGTCTATGGAAGCTAATGTGTTGCTAATATGTTGGGAAGGTTCCAGCAGACATTCCCAGATAAGACAAATTGGGGAGAAAGGCCTGGCAATCCTCTGAAAATCAGCCAACAAACGCCCTAAGGATCACACTGATCTGATCCACAGCTGATTATGGGGATGACACCCGACCAGCTGCGTTTTTGTTCTGTTCTGAATGGGGATGCTAAGAGATGGGGGCCAATGAGACCGTTGCTAATCACAAGAAGGCTGGCTGCATGAAAGAATCACCTGGAGAGGGTGTTAAACTTCAGGTGCCTAGGTCCCCCTTGGACCTATTGAACCAGATTGTAGGAGAATTGGAGGGAGGCCCTGGCTTGTAACGTTGAACCCCCAAATACGAATTGGTTGCTTTACAAGCATTGAGATCTCTGGTCTGAAGCCTACCCATCCTTCAGGAACCAGATCAAACCTCACTTTCTGCAGAGGCCTCCCACACCGCTTCAATCCACAGAGACAGGGCAAGATGTCTTAGAACTATGAATTGACAAGCTAGTTCATGAACTGCTGCCACAGACGGCCTAGTCTAGCTCCAGGTTCCAATAAAAGGAGACAATGACCTCATCTTTCTAGGTAAACTGAAACCACATGGAGAGAGTGGCAAGTCTGTAGGCTTCCCTGTTCTTATAAGACAATTGGGAAGATGGTACCAAAAAAGAAGGAAGGAAGGAAGACTAAACTCAACATCATGGATTTGACTTACAGCAACCCTAAAGGACAAGGTAGAACTGCGCCTTTGGGTTTCCAAGACTGTAACTCTTTATGGTAATAGAAAGCTTCATATTTCTCCCAGGTAGCGGTTGGTGGTTTCAAACTGCTGACCTTGTGATGTTACTACTACCTCGGGGCTTCATGTAAGGAAGGCACAGGACCAAGCAATTTGTTGGTTCTCTTGTGCATAAAGGTCACTATGGACAGACTTAAAAGCACTTTTCAACAACTACTTCAAAACTATGAATTTGCTGGTTTATTATTATTCTAATTAAGCTGCCATCACTTAAAATGCTTCTTCAATTTAGATTAGTAAACTGAGATCAAAGTGTCTGAAATAAACCAGAAAAGAAAACCAGTCTTCTCTATACTTTTTCACTTTGAACTCATGATATTGCCATATTTACAGAGAGGCCAGCAAATTAGAGCTAAGTGGCTTACTGTATTCCTTCCTCAGATCAAGAAAGAATAGATATTATTTCCACTGCCTTTGCATAATCTACTTGTTCCAGCCTTTGAAAGAGAAAGGTATCCACAATATAAGAAGTCTCTTTCTCAGTGAGCCACAACTCTCTCCATCCCTCACTCATCTCTCAACCCACTTGAAATGTCTTTATCATTACAGATGTGCCACACAACCCCTTGTATTTTACTTAATTACCTAATCATAAGTTAACTGGCATCTGTACGTATATATTATAATGGTGTATATGTGTGTGTTTGTTGTTAGGTGTCATTGGGTCAGTTCGACTCACAGTGGCACTATATATAAAACAGTGAAGGAAACACTGCCTGATACTGTGCTAGCTTCCCAATCATTGCTATGTTTGAGCCCATTTTTACAACCAATGTCAGTTCCTCTTGCTGATGGTTGATATAGTTTATTGTGCCAACCTGGCCGATAAACACATGTGGGGTTAATTGAAGGGCGGAGGGATAAATGGCTCGGTGAGCCTCGCCTTTCTAGTTCTCAGGTCTCTTGTTTTCTGATGGTTGCACCAAGTACAGCTGCCTTAGCCAGTTCCCTGCTTCAGCTGGCAAGGCTCACTTCCTGCAAGACATCCCTGAGGAGAAGCCACATGGACCTACCCTGATGCAGCCCTGGATGCTGGAGCACCCATGTGGAGACCCCTGCCAGCGCTGAGATGCTAACACGTTCACTGACTGCTTTTTCCTCCTGCAGTCGGCATCATGGCGTCTGTTTTGTGAGACGGAAGAGAACTTTGTGGATTGGTGTTGGACATATGGGTTAATGGGTTAATGTTGGACTTGTGGGCTTGGGCAGCACTGGATTGGGATATTTTCTTGCTGTGAACTTAACCTTTATATAAAGCTCTCTCTTATACATGAGTTTCTGTGGATTTGTTTCTCTAAAGTACCCAGACTCACACAATGGTCTTCATGTTTTTCACTAACCCTGTACTTTACCAAGCATGTCTTTCTTCAGAAGAAGCTTCCTCTGATAACACGTCTGAAGTATAGAAGTTTTGCCATCTTCCCTTCTACAGAGCATTCTGGCTGTATGTCGTCCATGACTTAAGGCTGGTGGTTTTGAATTCCTGACCTTTCAGCTAGCAGCCCAAAGCAGAACCAGTATGCCAACAGGGTTTCTTGTAATCAACACAGTCTTAATATATAAATGATAATTTAGATAAGTATAAATAATTATAAATCATGTAAAGTTATATTTATATGTCTAATCCCCTGCCATCAAGTCAATTCTAACTTATCACAACCCTGTATAGGGTTTATGAGACTTTGTAAATCTTTAGAAGAGCAGGCAGCCTCACCTTTCCACTTTGGAGTGACTAGTGGGTTTGTACCACAGAGCTTGCTGCTAACACTCATTTCTGCATATTTATAAGCTATCTGCATCATATTTTCATATATTTATATTTACATGTATGTAATAACATCAGCAGAAATAGCATAAGCTTGAGATCTAAAAAAAAAATAGGTTCCGTCTCAGATTCATCCCTATATAAACCTGAGTCTTAGTTCCTTCATCTGTCAAATCAGAAGACTGATTCTCTTTTAAGTTTGTTGTAATAATTAAATACATTTATATGTCAGGAATATTTGATACTATACAAGTACAAGACACAGGATTAATAAAATATACACATGAGCTGCGTTGCAACATTGGAAACCTTAATACAGAGTTTAAGGAGACCCACACATTATTCTCTTTTTTTCACATTATTAAGTATCTGAGTCTTGAACTTGCTTTAAACAACACTTTCAGTGCCACTACACTCATTGAAATACACTTTATTGAAATACACTTTAACTTATTCTACATAACCAAAGGGAATGAGTAAAATATTTGGTAAAGGATTTTGGGGTTTTATATTTTTAAGATTTTCCTGTTTAAGCATTTCTAGAATGCACTCAATACGCTCCTATAGCCCCTGACCTTCACTATGTTCCGGTTACTCCTATTGGGTGACCTACAAAGCTAACTCACAAGGAAGTCCACACTATTATTTATACCTGACTCACAAGGAAGTCTTTAGCTCATTAAAGAGCA